GACTCTAACAATTTAAAACCACAAATCATGCATCAATTGAAGAGCCGGTCCTTCTTATTCTGGACAACCAAAGCAGCCATACTTCCCTTAATAGTTATTCATTCTAGGAAAACAATTTTCAAAAACCTTCATTACTACTACTAGATGCAGTCAGGGACGTAACAGTTTTTGTCCCATTAAAAAAAAAGTATTAAGTATGGAAATAGAAATGTTTATAAAATCAAGGTAGTATCAGTAAATTACACCATGTTATGACCTAGCGTCATTGTTTAACAATGTTTATGCTGGTGATAATGATAATAAAAACAATATTTATTTACTTGCCATTATACAATATAAAACAATGTTACAATATAATAGTTCAATATAATCAGTTTAAAATAAGTTAATTATTTTGTACAAGCAAATAGTTGTTGGAAAAAAAAACAAAGAAGAACTTCCCTGATAAACCAAAAGCTGTGTTCGGGAATTCCAATCATTTACAGTATTCAAATATTTGTTTTACAGTACCATCTACATGAATTTCATTAAAGGTCGCATCTAATATTTTTGATCCAGTGTTCTTACGAAATTAGACCAAAATGGTTAATCATGTTTATTAAGTTAATTTTTCTCATGTAGGTTTTATAGTTCTCGAGTAAATAGTTAATTACCTTTAAATGGGAATAAGCCACAATTAAAGGTTAAAATACGTTTATTGACGTTTAAATTCCTACTTTGGAAAACAGTGGAAATCGAGACGTCAATAAACGTACTTTAACCTTTAATTGTGGCTTATTCCTATTTAAATACTAATTACGTTAAAATGCCACAAAAAACTAGCTTCAGAACAATATTAAGAGTGTAATGGCTGCGAAAAAACAAAAATGAGTATTTTTGACTTTTGTAAATAATAACAATGCATATAATACATCAGAAACAGGTAACTGAGCGAGAGACTTCAGACTATTTGTTAAAAAATTAGGTTTCAACTCTGGAAAGGTTAGAAAATGCCCACAAGTCCTAATCTCGATGAAGGAAAAATCCGAATCTGCACCTTCACGTGGTATAAGGTGTGCTACATTAACGTTGATGGCTAACGCAGATAGAGACCGAGTGATTGCCGGTATAATCAATCCCCTGCTTACCGACCAAGGGCTTCAGGCGGATGAGTCGCTAGGTACTAGGACAATATTTTGTCCTTGAGCTAGGAAATCAACTCCAAAGGCGGAAACCCCAATAAATTGGTCAACAGCAGATCGTGGAATCCGGAAACCGAGATCTAGCAGCGAAGAAAAAGATCATGTAAAAGAGGGACCTTCCAGGTCAATAGCAAGCAATTCTAGCAATAATGGAAGAGAGGAGAGAAGCCCAATAAAGAAATGAGCCAAAATATCAAGAACAAGAACAAAGTAGAGATAAAAAAGGCCAAGAAAAAGTGGTTAACATCAATGCATAGAAATGGAGAATATGCATAAAAAAATAAAAGAATTAACAAATATTAAAAAGCGAGCACACTATGGGATATTTAAAGATGATAATGGTAAACTCATTGCAGACATCAAAGATAAACTAAGATTTTGGCAAGAATACATATTGAAACTATTTGACGATGATAGAATGGTACAAGAAGAACCAGGAACTAACAGTACGAAAATATTAATGTGAGAATTAGAACAGGCAGTTAGAAATGCAAAGACCATAAAATCAGTAGGCCTAGATCAGATACCCACGGAGGTAATTAAATGCATTGACGAAAAAACATTGTCTATACTCTTAGATCTGTTCACAAAGTATATACAGTGCTTTTCAGATAAAACTATCCACCTTAAATAACTTTTGAACCTCTAATTTTTTGAAAAAACGCAAAAACACTTTAATTAATATCTGAAGGAGGAGGCATAATATCATATTTAAGGTTGCTGGAAAATGCACCCTTTCACCCCATGTATCAACCCTTTATTTTTTTTTTAATTATTTCTCCCTTTTTTATTTTATATTTAAATTCTCCTTTTTGTAATGATTTCAGAAATGTATAATACATGATACTTGAAGTGATTAGTTTATGAGAAAAGTAATAACAAAGGCAAGAAAATTGGATTGAAAAAAAATTATTTTTTAACAATTTTATTACACACATTTAGAACAAACATTTTAATACTAAAAATTTTTACAATAATTGTTCAAAATGACTGCCTTTCACTTCCATACAATAGTACAATCTATTTTGAAATTCTTCTTTGACATTGCTTAACACGTCTGCATTTAATTGTCGACATTCATCTTTTATTCTTTGTTGTAAATCATCTAGATATTCTGGTTGAGAAGCATAATTTTTGTTTTTAAATACTCTTATAAGAAGAAGTCTGGGGGTGTTCAATCCGGTGACCTAGGTAGCCAATCGATCATCTGTCGTCTTTTACCTATTCAAGGACCGGGAAACGTTTCGTTTAAAAATTATCGCACAGGTAAAGCAAAGTGTGGAGAACCTCCATCATGTTAAAATACAACCAAATCATCGGAAAGGTTATCATCATTTGCTACTATTGTTCTAACGATCAACCACTTGCCTATATAATTCAAGATACGATGCACCATTTAAGTTTCCAGTGATAAAGAAGGGTCCAATAATGTGATTAAGTAGGATACCACATTATACGTTTAACCTTTGAGGATGCTGTGTGTGAAATTCGCGTACAATATGTGGATCACTCTCAGCCCAGTATCGGCAATTATATCTGTTCACCAAACCGTTTAATGAGAATGAGCATTCATCCGAGAAGCAAATATTGTTACAATTGTGGATTGTTAATGATGCATTTTATCATTAATTCGCAACATTCGGGACGACGATCAAAATCTTCTTCATTTAACTCTTGTACTAATTTAATTTTATATGGATAAAACTTAAATTTATGGAGGACTCGGAAAGCTGTTGAAGATGAAACACCGATTGCTCTGCTTATTGTTGACAGTGACTGTGATTGTTAAGAGTAAGTTAACTTGCCCTAAAACAGCTACTTGGATTGCTTTTTTATTTACAAATTCCTGTCGGTTATGCTTTTTATTGCAAACTGACCCTCTTGATCTAATTTTTTCTGCATCAGTTCAATCACACACTTATGAGTTGCATGTTTATTGTGGTGTGTTTCATTAAAAATTCTAGCAGCAGCTCTTGCACAATTATTATTTTTATAGTATAAACCTACAATTTCGATTCTTTCTTGCAAAGTGTACACCATTTTAGCGATCAAATTTCACACGTATCAAAATAAGCTGTTACTTACAAGTTATAACAAATTGTCGCTATTAACCGATTAAAACAAATGTAAAAATGATATCGAAAACCTTTGATAAAACTTGAATAAAAAGTGAGTTTTTTTGTTTCTTGGTTTTTAAAGGTACTACAAATAGTACGGTTAAATATTTAAAGAGTTTAAATTATGCTACAACCTATTTTGTTAGAGTCAATTAAGGTGGGGGAGATACTGTCTTGTTAACAGGAAAATTGTCTATCTGATAAACTAATCACTTCAAGCCAAAGGTATTATACATTTTTGAAATCAGAACAAAAAGGAGAATCCAAATATAAAACAAAAAAAGGGGTAAGTAATTTAAAAAAAATACAGGGTTGATACAGGGGGTGAGAGGGTGTATTTTCCAGCAACCTTTAATAAACTATTATGTCTCCCCCTTCAGATATTAATAGACGTGTTTTTGCGTTTTTCCAAAAAATTAGAGGTTCAAAAGTTATTTAAGGTGGATAGTTTTATCTGAAAAGCACTGTATAACAGGATTAATAACCAAATATTGGTTGCTGTTCATGTTTGTAATACTACCAAAGTCACTACATGCGACAAAATGCTCTTAGAACAGAAACACTTAGTAAATAGATTACATACAGTCAGTATAAAATATATACTACAAATGAACGTTAAGAAACCAAATGCATGATTAGTTCTAAGCAACATATAGTAGGAAGGCTGGATATCGAGGGAAAACATGTAAAAATAGGGAATAACTACAAGTATCTGGAAACATGGGTAAATGAAAACAATGACCAAGGAAGAGAAATGAGGACACATATTGAAATTGCAAGACAAGCTTTTATAAAAATAAAAAAAAGGTTTGTTAATCAAGACCTTCCTCTAGAGCTGAGGATAAGAGCCTTAAGATTCTACGTGTTCTTGACTTTGTTGCATGGAATAAAAAGCTGGACACTAAAAGTGGATAATAAAAAGAAGTTGGAATTATTTGACATGTGGTGCTACCAAAGAATTTTAAAAATACCATGGACCTAACGAGTTACAAATGCTGAAATGTTCAGAAGGCCACAAAGGATTGCGAGGTCTTAAAACACATCAAAATAAGAAAGGTGGAATATTTAGGCCACATTACCAGAGGTGCGAAATATAAGATAATTAGGTTCATGATGCAAGGTTAAATCAAGTATAAAAGATTCATAGGAAGAAAGATTTCATAGAAACACAAGAGGATAGTACAGTTGCAGCTCAGTATATATTTGCAGAGCAGCCGTCAATAAGGCACGGATAGTTGTAACAATAGCCGACCTTCAATAGGAGAAGGAACTACAAGAAGAAGCAGTGAAAGTACTTAGGATAAAGTATATAATCCGTATTTTAGAACTTATATTTCCTATCTAAATAAAATTAGATTTTCTCGTGAAGTGAACGACATTTCCCTATGTTCCCCTACATAAAATAAAAGTGAAAGTTGATTTGTTAATTTATAAAATTTCTGCACACCTGGTAGTAGGTGTGTTAAATTGATATGATATTAAAAGAATTAAAACAGGTCAATATAAAAAAGTACCTTATAAAAGTGTTATTGATAAAAGTAATCAACTAAATTTTTAATTTCTTCCATAAAAATGTTTTAAATTTTCAACTTCTTCCATAAAAGTATTTTATTTTATATAAACTTCAGATTTAGAGTTTATTCGAATTTGGTTTTATTTAGTCCTATTAATTTTATAATAAATAAAATATTGAAATACTTACTCAAGGATACTTTAAATAAACATTGTGTTGCTGATATAGATGAATATATAACATCCTAACTCAAATAACACAGTCCTTTAAAAACACTTCTTCACTACACAAATATCCAAAACTTTCACCAACACCACTAATTTATTTACACAATCAAAAGACGTAATCCTCTTCCAAGTACTAATTCGAATATTGCGCACGGTATATGAGATTTTCGCGCTCTGCGTGTTTCTGGGAGCCCTTCTAGGTTTCGCGGTTGCCCCTGTAAACGGGAAAGCAACAGTTACACTAGCTCTACAATGCGGCGCTGATGGTGAGGTCCGTCGCGACGATGAATTTCAGAAGACGCGCGCACTCCATCTGACCCACTCGAATAGGTCAAGGTCCAATGTTAATGTCACCACGTGACCGCCGAGAATGCATTTTGCATAGGCCTGATTTATTTATTGTTCAACCCTGTTCAAAGCGGAATTGAAGTTTTACGGGTACCAGGGCTATATTTCAGGTTAATCCAACTTTATGTTGTTCATGTGCGTTGTTTATTTTTTAAATGGCAAGTGGGTGGTGAACATGTTTCCCGCACTAACTAGACTACTACTTTGCTGTTCTGGAAACACAATAAAATTTACACAACGAAGTTTTCAATATAAAGTTAATTAATATAAGTTTTATACTTACTTATAGTTTAACTAGCGGACCAACTCAACATCGAGTTTTCTAAATGAAATTTTTATTTTGCGAGAAAAATTAAGAGATCAATACAAACAATATAAGCAATAATATACATAACATTCATCAATAATAATGCAAGTAAAAAGTGTATTAAATATCACGAAATATTTCGTCGAAAACAATGTTTTTTGTTACTGTGGGGGTTTAACAAAATAATGTACTATTACGAATTAATAGTACTAAGATAAATACCAGCTATTCCTTCGATAGCTCTGGCAAGATAAATGAACTTTCACTCATAGGTGCAAATAACAAATAATATAAAATTTAAATGGTTGCAAAAACAATCAAAAAACAAACAAAGGTATTAAACTAGGTGAACTTACCGAACCGCTAATTAGGTACCATAATTCACTACTATAAAACCAACCGATTTCGATGCATCGACGCACTCGCGAGGGTTGTGTCTTGCGTCTATTCTGCTCAACGACTTAAGCGCTTGTGTCCTACGGGATGCATAGCATACCCGAACGGTACGAATAGGGATCGAAGGTATACAGGGGGAGGACAAAATGTCTTGATTAATTTATACAACCATATTTGAATTTAAACATTCTCCCCCCTTTAAAGGCCATAAGGTCTTTAAAAAACAAAACGAATTCTAAATACTATCATTACTTAAACAATCAAAACGATAATTACTACAAACAATTCCTATACAAATATTAAACAAATATTCAAAACTTAAACTAAAAAATAAAAAAATTAAAATTAAAATGGTGGTTTTGTCGTGGTTCTATTCATAAAAGCCGAACAAAACAAAATCAGTAAAAAAAAAATGCTGACCATTTAATCTTCATCTATCGGCACGGGACAGATTCGGACAAGAGGCCGTTTTAAGGTTCCGGTAATCGTACGCACGGTAGCCACTCGAGCTACACCGTCTTTACCCTCATGTAATTCAACAAGACGCGCGAGAGGCCACTTACACGGAGCCAAATTATCCTCCTTTAAAACAACTAAGGTGCCGATTTTAGGTACAAAACTAGGATCTAACCATTTACACTTTTGTTGCAAGGTGTGCAAATATTCCTTTCGCCATCGAGCCCAAAAGTCTCTATGGATGCGCTGTAACAACTGCCATCTGGACAAACGATTGAAGGATACCTCCGAAAAATCAGGCACAGACAAAGATGTCAAGGGTTCAAGAGTCAGGAAATGTCCAGGGGTCAAAGCATTGAGATCTTCAACATCATTGGTTAAAGGGGTGAGAGGGCGTGAATTTAAGACGGATTCAATTAACGTCAAAACGGTATAAAATTCTTCGTAAGTCAAAATTTGTGCCCCGACTATACGACCAATATGTTCCTTTACAGAACGAATTCCGCGTTCATAAATACCGCCAAAATGTGGAGCAGCAGGTGGAGCAAATGAAAACTTAATATTTTCCTTATCGAGAGCGCTCTCCATAAAGCTACTAAGCTGTCGATAAGCACTGTGGAAATTAGTGCCATTATCACAAAATACTTGCGATACTCGACCTCTCCGAGCGACAAAACGTTGTAAAGCGGCCAAAAAGGCTTCCGCGGTCAAATCACTAGCTAATTCCAGATGTAAAGCCTTTGTAGCGCAACATACAAATAAACACAAATAGGCCTTTTGAGTTCTAACTCCCCTGTAACGAGACATGGTTATCGAAAACGGTCCACCATAATCTAACCCACAAATCGAAAAGGGTTTAATGGCACCGAGACGAAATTTAGGCAAATTACCCATAGGGGGTTGTAAGTTTTTGGGAGATTGTTTCCAACATCTAATACATTTGGACAATACTGAATTAATGGCTTGTTTAGAAGACAGTATCCAAAACCTTTGACTAATCAAAAATTGAGTACTCTTAAATCCAGCATGTAAATACTTCTCATGATAATAACGAACTAGGTTACGAGTATCAATACTACGAATGTAAACGACACAAGCATATCCCTTTTCACTAGCATCGGCAAATCCATGAAGCTCTAAGATGGGACATGAAGAAATATTCAAAAAACGAGGAATTTTGAATTGTGAAATAAGAGATAATTCGCTCTTATATTGTTCCCATACACGAATTATTTCCGAAGGAGGGCGATCATCCCATTTAAGACCGGTTGCCCAAAGTTGTTGGATTAAATGTTTAATGAAAAACGTAATAGGTGTTAGGTAACCACAAGGATCATAAATTCGAGCTAGTTCGGACAAAAACGATCTTTTGGTACAAGGGACGTCTTGCAATTTGACTGAAAATTGAAAGACGTCGGACTGTGCAATCCACTTCAAACCAAGGATTTTTAATGAAGGACCATTTGCTTCTGGATCAAAATTAATGGCATGAGGATTAATATGGGATTCAGGAAATTGCGACAACAATTTGGGTTCATTCGAACACCATTTCCGTAACTCAAAGCCTCCTAACTTTAACAAAGTAACTAATTCGTCAATTAAAGTTTGTGCTTCTTCGAGAGTCGAAGCACCAAAAACAAAATCATCAATATACGAAGCATGACGAATAAGCGAGACGGCTTTAGGAAAACGAGAGCCTTCGTCTAATGCTAATTGTTGAAGGGTTCTTAAAGCAAGATACGGCGAAGATACTATTCCAAAAGTAACAGTTAATAAACGATATTCCTGAATTTCCTCAAGGCTAGAAAATCTCCATAACACGCGTTGATAATCCGTGTGTTCAGGAGCGATTAAAATATTGCGATACATCTGACGAATGTCCGCACACAACGCAAAACGATTAAGTCTAAAATTTAACAAAAGCGAGACTATGTTCTGTTGTAGCTTAGGACCGACCAGTAAATATTCGTTCAAAGATTTGCCAAGACTGGGACTTTTCTGAGACGCATTATACACAACTCGAATTTTATTTGAAACACTATCTGGTTTCACAACGCAATGATGTGGAATGTAATACTTTCCCCTTTTCTTTTCGGCATTAGGGACTAACTGCATATGACCTAAATCAAGATACTCCTGCATATGAAAAGAATATTCTTTTTTCAAACTTGGTTGACGAGATAAACGACGTTCTAATGATAGCAGTCTATTTAAAGCAATATCATAGCTATCTTGCAAACAAGGCGGCGATTCACGAAAAGGCAAAGACACGACATATTTACCTGAGACGTCCCGATTATGTGTTTCCCGATAAATGTTTTCGCACAGAGCGTCTTCTGGTTCTGAAACTGGCTTTTCCGGTATGTTTTCCAGTTCCCAAAATTTCGATAATGAAGAATCTAATGGGTCTTCAATATTTGAAAGACAAACAAGCGAAGTCGACGAAAGATTAGGTGTGCTAGTAGGTCCTAACAAAATATATCCAAAAACGGTATTTAGGGCATCAGGTTGTCCCGCTTTACCTTCAATTTTACCTTCTAACAACACCTTCGAAAATATGCTACAACCAATTAACAAATCAATAGATTGACTACAGTTAAATTCGGGATCGGCTAACTTTAAATTTTTGATATAATTCCACGTCGATATGTCAATTTTGGTGCTCGGCAAATCCGAGCAAACCCGATCTGTAATAACAGCTTCCAAGTGAAACACCGGTGACTCCTGATGACGAGGTTGGATAGAAAAACTTATTTGACCTTGATTCAGCTTCGTTTGCATCGAATTGAGTCCGTTAACTTCAAACGAACAAGGAGTTTTAGGCCAACCTAATCTACTGGCAGCTTTTCGACTAATGAACGAACTCATTGAACCCGAATCTAAAAGACATCTCAAGGGCTGTTTACACCCCTTACTATCAATTGCATGAACCCAAACGGTACCGAGCAAGATTTCCTTTTTTGTTTCGTTTTTCCTCCCTACAAAACTAGCAGCACAATGTGATATTTCAGGCGAATTCTGTTCGACTCCCGATGCCCCTGGATTATTAGTATTTTCTGTGGACGACTGACTATTGGAACGATTTCTATCGAAGTGCAGCAAACTATTATGAAGGTGACTATTACATTTACTACATTTAAAGGACTTTGGACACGACTTGACAGAATGATTAGCCTGATTAAGACATCTAAAACACGAGGAAGATTCTTTACAAAATTGGTATCTCTCTTTTGGAGATTTCTTCAAAAACAACGAGCACTGGTTTAGAAAATGACTTTGCTTACATAAAGCACAGCTTACTAATGACGAATTTGTAACAAAGGATGAACTACGATTATGCCTAGACTCATTCGAATGTTTATAATTACCCTTAGGCTCCGTATAAGTTGGGGCCCGCGACGACTTCTTAGATTCGCTTACGCTACTATTCAAATTATCGTAAGCAATGTACTGAGTTTCAATAAACTCAACTAATTTTTGAAATGACGGGATTTTATTCGATTTATTTTCTAATTCAAATAATTTTACTGAATCCGCGTCTAGTTTCGACAAAAGTAAATTAAACATAATAAAGTCCCAATGTTCTGTCGGAAGGCCTAATGTTTTCAATGCGGCTAAATTTTCTAAAAACGTGTCTACTAATTTAGCCAGATTTTTCGAATTAACTAACGATATTTTCGGCACGCCCATGATCGCATCCCAATGCGCGGTCGCACACCGACGAACATTTGTGTAG